AAACATACTAATACTTGACAGTACAAATCAAATATTCAAGGATCGAGTTTCGAATGCCATGTACGTGTTCGTATAGCGGACCCGTTCATTTTCGAAGTATGAGACACGTCTTATTTTAACTCGCCACTCGTCGAATAGTGCAAGTAATCGGTTAATCGATAGATGGTCGCACGATACGTCGCCATGAGAAGCGGAATTCGCGTCGGGCAAACGAGATTGTTACGTCGTTTCTGCTATTTCGTGCGCGGGCGGAGGGAGGCGAATGACGTGTTACGGAGGTAGTTAACGGGAGAGTCCTCAGGGCTACGTACATATGTACGTTCAGGCCTATTGGTCTTTCTCTCTCACGATGAGAATAGAAAAAAAAAAAAACGGACGTCGGTGGTACAAACGCACCCGCGGTGATGATTAACAGCCAGGCGCATATCTCCGAGGCCTGACCGGAGAGAGTAATCGATTAATACACGATATCGAGCCCGTGCGTCTCTCGTGGCCATTGTTTGTTGTTAATTACACTGATACATCTAATCGACAAGCGAGGATCGGCTCGACTATGATTCGGCGATTTGACCGGTCGCGGATGTGGACCTGGACTCCGACCCGGTTCTCCGAGATGTAAATGTTCCTTTAATGCAGATATCGGCGTCGCTGTACCGCGACGTCGGGATACCGAGCCAACAACGGCATTGTGTTTGGTAATATTGTAACGTTGCACCGCACTCGTTTATCTGTGCCGGGCATCGAATCTGGCATTCTAATTAATACAAGTCGACGCGTTACGGCGACCGGTTTCATTACGGATGCGACATGAAGTCGAGAAGCCACGTTATGACATTTATATGCGAGCTTATATCTAATCATTAATATAATATGCGCACATTTAATTAGACTGTTAGTTATAAATCTTTTCTTGAAATTAGCTTATAAAAATTATTTTTCAACATGAAAATAAGCACTTCAAATATTAAGATTACTGTCAATATTATTATCTAGTTTCATCAACAATACATCATTGTATATATTTACCGATTTCTCTGTATCATCAAAAGTTTTTGATTTGTCATGATTTGAGTAAATTTGAATATAAAATTTTTATAAGAAAAATTATATTTTTATTAAAATAACAAAATTTATTATTGATTTGCAAAACAACATTATCATATATCCAATGCTATTCAATTTTTTTATAACAGTTAATAAATAATATAGTTCAATCTTTTGAACAAACTTTTAAAGCTTTTCCTTTTATCAATGAATATGTTAAAAAATTTCTTTATAAAATTATTACTGCTTTATACGAAAGAAATACAAAAATATTTAACGAAGATTTAGTGTTATGATATACAAAAGTTAGTAACTCTATTTTGGTGAATATTTATATCGACGAATATATATACACTATCAATAAAAGTCGAGCTTAGTGTTGCTGAAATAATGCTATTGGAAATGTGATAATATCTTGATAATATCTTTATCGTGTCTTTAGATTCGTGAAAGTTATATTTCATATATTCATAATGTTTTTGAATATGAATATAAATTGTTGGATAAAAGTGTCTTTGGGTAAGCAATTGTTTATGTCATACATATATATTCTTGTTAATTTGTGAATATTAGAATATTAAAAAAATTGTTTCATACGGCAAAACGCAGAATAATTTATAGTTTAATTGTCAAATTATCGCATATGATTGTAATACTGTGTCATATCATTACTTTTAAAGGTAAATATTAGTTTGTAGATAGTACACTGAGAAAAATTTGGTTGAAAAAATGTTTAATTAGAATTCTGGCTGAAAATGAACGAATTAGAATTTTTTGCTTAAATCTACTAAAATTTTAGTTAGAGATAATCGGAATTTCGTTTAATATAATCAGAATCTTCTGGTTTGTCCATTTTCAACCAAACATTTTTCTCAGTATATCAATATTTGATAATATTGTTATAGTAATATTCTACAGGATGTATCGAACAAGGGAAAAAATTTCAGATTTCATAAAAAATTTTCCGGATCATATTTTCATAAAGCGCAGCGAGTTTGTTTCGCCTTTCAAAGTTGGCTGTTAAATCGCCGGTTAATTGCACGCAAGAACGAGCCACGTTTTGCCGATGGTGCGTGGTCGGGCCCCAAGTGTCGCGTTAATTACTGAACGTTAGACACAGGCTCCTCCCTCTTAACGTATAGATAGATGGATGGATGGATTACTTAACACTTGTCACGCCTCGCTAATTAACATTCAGTAATCTCCCGCTCGGAAGTATTTCCCCTGTCCCTCCACCTTGCGGCGATGACGATGCGACAGGTGGAAAGTCGTTTAATATTTATCGACCATCGCTCCCGACCCCGTTGGCACCTTCGGGGCCCGATACACACACCGGTACCCGGCCACGGCCCCGGCCCCGGCCCCGCTCGCAGCTCAATCAGAATTCGTGATGGCGCGCGACGCTTCACGGAAAATATTAGAATACGACGGCGTGATCATTGATTAGCGGCGGATAAACGGACGGGTGCGGGCATCTTTCTTCCTTCTCTTTCTTCTTTTTTCTATCTGTCAACGTTGCGGGGCATCGACGAGTTCTACGGAATTCCAGATGCAGGACGTTTCGTCCCGTCGACTGTAATCTGCGCGTTCGATCGCGACCGGGTGTCGTCGGAGATGTGCACATTGTTGAATGCAGGCGTGCGTATATGTGATAACTAATGAAACCTAACACGTTCAATGCCGTGGCATTGCTTAGCTGACTTTAATATTGAAGTCGATATTCCTGGAAGATCGTCGCAAGTGATGCCTCTTGTTGACTGGAATTTTTGTTGGCCGCTTATTTGGATGAGAAGCGCGCGATGGTCGATGCAGATAAGTAGTAGTAAACCTCGAGTGCATCTCATTTTAGTAAATTAGCGATGCGTGCGCATGTAAATGTAATATTGTCATAACCATCAAAAGTTATTAGAATATAAAGATAATATGCTTATTTTTAAATTATTTCATCACTAAATTATAAGATTAATTAAAAAATTTTTTTGTTGACTTAATTCAGTGCGATTCTTGCTTGTAATTTTATTAAAAACTATTTCTATATAATTATAAAATCTTTGTCTATAATATATAAAATTATACATTATACACACAAAGAAATTATATTTTCGCAGAATAGTGATAGTCATACATTATTAAATTTGTTTGTAAAATTGAAGAGTTAATTAACAAACTTAAGCAACATTTGATACGGTCAACGCTTGAATGGTTGACAGCCTGGGAAGACCGTATCCCATTGGTGCTAATGCCGAGACTAATGACTGTAGAAGTCGATGTCATAATTGAGAGAAAAAAAGATAATGTTGGCATATCCTATATGAAGAACGACATTAGAAGAACGGTTATGACATAATTACGCAAATACGTTGTCTTATTTCACGCTTCATTCATTTTCTTTATGCTAGGCTTTAACTGGAAATAAATAGTTAAATTAAATGTTTATGATTTTATATAATTAAATATATTTACTGAAACAGAATTAATATTAATAATCTGATATGCATTATCAACTATCACTAACGAGAAAGATAATTTTTTTTTGTAGAAACGGCAGAATTGGTAAAAAGAATTATTTAAATCCATTTAAGTTCACATAATAATTATGAAAACGAGATTTTCGCGAGTGTGGAATTCTGTGGTGATTCCCGATCGATCGCGATATATACGCCACTGCGACGCGATATCTAATGAGGCTATTAACACGCTCCGCGTTGTCGAGGAAACTTGGACGGGCGTGCGTTTATGACAGCCGATGACCTACCTAGCGGCTTCCATTAGAGCCGCGTACGAGCGCCTTGAGTGAGACATTTACCAGCTCCCACCGTGCCGATCCCTCGGCTTTAGCAGGTGCCTGGCCTGGCCGAGGTACCATTTAAAACTTCTTCGCTTTTACGCACTGTACGCGCGGACGCGTGCCTTCGGGCCCGGTCCCGGTCCCGGGCCCAAGACGCGAGGACGCTATTAGCCGGCTTGGCACATTAACGGGCAAGGCGCGTGAGGATCTCCGCTGTTGCGTAAGTTCCCCATTACAGCGCGAATTACAAGCGACTCTTGCGGTCGGTTAGAAATCACTTACGGCGATCGGCTGCTTAACCGGCGCGCGGCAGAGGCTCCCGAGTCGGATAAATTATCGCGGGAATTTTCTCTGAACGTATGCAAATTACGAGAAAAAAAAAAAGATAGACCGCGCGCTTGAATAGATCCGCCGTGGCGATTGTACTGAGATTGCGTCGATTATATCAGGTATGAATCACGCTGCAATCGTCACGGATGAACGAGCGTGTCGATGTGCGTAGCGCTAACCCGTGTCATTGAGCGGATGAGAATTAAAAATCAACGGCAAAATTATCCGCGGAGGCTTCCTCTATGCGACGTGACGCGTGTAATTTAATACACATTGTTTCCTTCGATGTGAATTCGCTCTTGAGACTTCCAATATATATCTGCACTCAACCTTGCTGGTTGGACAATCCTTTTGAAATGAGACAGAAAATACACACAGTTATTATTCTACCGGCAGTAAAAGATAATTATTCAAAATCATGACAATTAAAAATAGCAATTGGAATGATAGTTCCGTGTATATCACATCATGTAATAGATCATCGAGTTTGCATCCATTATGGAATGTTACTACCGTAAATTGGGATAACGTAATATTGCAATAAATGCATCTTTTCTGACGCTAAATAATTTTAGAATTTTATTTTCAAAAATCTTCTTCTTTTATATCTGTGATCTCATCTTGCATTATCATTTATCAAATGTAATTAATAATCGCGATGCTCTCTCTTTCTCTCTCTCTCTCTCTATGGAAATAAATACTACGAGCTATTCTATCTCGATCGCAGCGGGTGCTTGAAAGACCCAAAAGGCCAGCTAATACCAAATACGAATAATTAATCGCCCCACTTATGGTCGCAGAGCTGTGGCTGATCAAATGCGAATGTTTTCTGTTGCAGATTCGTGCGAACCCGTTGCGGAGCGAACTTACGGTAAGTGACTCACGATCTCAATTTCCCAGAGATTACAAGACCGTACTTACGCCAGCGTAAAAATCGTCGCGGAACCTTCTATTCAGTATCTTCCGTGAAAAAAATATCCTCCCTATTACGCAGTCTATGCGCTTCGAAACGCGTTGACTTGAGTCGCCGTCTCGACTCGTGCAATTCGCTTCCATTCAGTGCCTCATTCGCCGTTGATTTCATACGGCATTGCGAAACACGATGTAACGCTGCTGGGTGCCCCCTTCCCTCTTCTTCTTTCCCTCACTCCCTCTCTCTTTCTCTTTCTACTTTTTTTACAATGCGCACCGGCTCGATCGTGTGCCTATGCAAACGCGTAAATTAGATCGAATTCCCGGAATAATTACCTCAAGCGGAAAGTGTCGGTGGTCGGCTAGTTTTATATCGTAGATATACCGGACAAAGACTCGGACAAAAAGCGGTTGGACTATTTTCGATTGTAACGGGCTATGTATACGTATTTTTGGAATATTATCTGACTAATTTTTCACGTATATTTACGAATAAATTATAATGATAGTAATAGTTTTCTAATACATTTTTCATAACATAATTTGACAGCGTGTTAAAAATTCAATTTTTTGTGAGTTTTACGTCTCTTTATTCTCGACTGTGGCTTATTCGCGACTGGCTTTGTTCTTTTCTCTTATGTATCTCCGTCGACACTTTCGTATTTGAGTTCAATGACGGCGAATCCGACAAGCGAATCCAACGACGTTGGAGAGACGTTTCGAAAAGCCGTCCATCTCTGGGCGTGATATCAAGTCGGGGGCTGTTAGGAGAGCATAAAAAGCCGCGTTGCATCCGGTCGCGTCTCCTCTATGCCAGAAGTCGTAAAATTCAGCGTTATGCGATTCGGGGCCTGTGTTTTGTCCCCCTTTCGAGATTATGATTATCCCAGCAGTGGCGGCAGCCACCGTGGCTAATATCACGCAATAAGCACGCCGGAGCCCAAGAAAGCAACGGTCTATCTTTCTCTTTTCCTCTTTCTCGTTCCCTTGCTCTCTTTCCAGCTCTGTCTCTGCCTTTGGCTTTGTCCATCTTCGTTTCTCAGCGCCTTCTCCTTCTTCTGTTTTCTACCTCCGGTATATAATATGTGCCACCAAACCTGATGGTGTAAACGGCCATCCAGTGGAAACACGTGGATGGTCCAAGACAGAAGAAGAGGAGGCCATCAAACGAACCGCGTAGCCCTGCGAGGGCATTCTAACTTTCCTGAAGCGACTCCATCTTCACGGTCTATCGTGCGTTTGAGAACATAGAGTCGCGGTAGTTGACTAGGTGTTGCGTTGCTAATGGTGGCGGAATGCCTTGGGTTGTTCATGTCACAGTAGGTATAAAAAAAATTTCACGACAGCGAAAGGACTTCCTTTCTTGTATTTATTATACCTCTCTCGTTTTTTAAGTAAGAAATTTCGTCTTTATTGGAATTGAAAGTGAGCCATGACACAGAATATTCTTATAAATGCTTTTTGAGAAACTTCTGTTTCGGCGGGTAGTCGACGTGATTGAGATTTTCGGGGGTTGCCGAATCAACAGGTTCCTGTTATGAGAGTGTAAAGCGTTTTGAATCTAACCCCTCGAGGGGTATGAATCCTTGGGAGCGAATCTTGATGTAGGAGAAAAAAAAGGGCGAATCTTGTCCGTGGGGGGTCGTGTCAGGCGGTTGTTCTCCCGATCGGTGAAATTGCGCGCATGTGTTACACGCGCGTATGTATTAAACGTTGCGGGGGTAGTCCGCCGACCCCACGCTGTACGGGGGTGGCTGACAGCCGATTAGGGCAAGACGGGAGAGAAGCCGAGGGCCCCCATGGAAAACTTAAAATAACATCGCTCGATCATCCGGGTGTCTTCGTAGACAGCCGACGACGCCGTGCTTCGCCATTCAAACGCTTACCATCCCATCACCTTCCGTTGCTTCCTGATTTACCCTAATCTTCGCCAGTGAATGTTTTGTGTCGCGAATTAAATCGCCTTCAATTACAATGAATCGTATATTTATATGTTTTCGACATACGTATAATAATAATGGATCTTTCATTAAAGTAGTATATTATGTAAAAGGGAACTCCTCATCTGGATCAATATTTTAAAACATGGATTATTAATAAATTTAAATGAATTCTATTATTTATTTTAATTATATATTTGCAGAACATTAGTACACTTATAAACAATGTTATGAATGCTTCATAATTCAAATATTTTAGTTAATTTTTTTATTATGTTTACAGGACATACAATTTGCTTTTTTAGTTTTATGTATGCGCGCGCGCGCGCGCGCGCGCGCGCGTGTGTGTGTGTGTGTGTGTGTGTGTGCGTGCGTGCGTGTGTAGTAGTAGTTGTAGTAGTAGTAGTAGTAGTAGTAGTTGTAGTAGTAGTAGTAGTAGTAGTTGTAGTAGATTATTGAAGTTAAATTTGTTGAAATAATATAAGATGGAAATTTATGTAAGAAATATCGTTAATTTTTAAGTTGCTTTAACGTTAGCCAGGAAAATTTACGAAACGGTCAGAAGTTGAGCACCTCTTCGATGCTCATTACAGAACGTCCCGCCCCCGGCGGCGGATAATCAGGGTGTATGGGGGAGTGAGGGGGACGGGGGCGGTGGGTGACCTCGCCCGGGGCCTTTACTCTCCTCTTCTTCGCTCTACCACTTTCCGTCTCTTTATTCTGTTCTTCCTACCTGACGGTATATGCCTTTTTCTCTCCTTCCTCCTTTCTATTTTCTTGTCTCTTTTTCTCTCAGCGGTATCTTGAGTCCTTTCCTCTCAACGCTTTCGTCTACCGTCTACCTGCGAAGGTGACGGAGCAGCAGTTCAGCTTTACGAATTGCGATCTCGCCGGTACTTTGCATTCGGTGTATATTGTTACGATCTTACTTTCTGGCATTCTTCTTCAAAATTAGAAATAGCTTTATCTATATCCACATCTTATGACAATGCTTGAACTTTTTATCTGATATTTTGCAAAATAAATAACGAGAGAGAATTACACAATTTTCTTTTGACAATAATATAGGCATGTTAAGTATAATTATTTTTAATATAACTATTTTTTTTAATATGATATTAGATAATTGTTTGAAACTTCCATTTATATTGTATACTCCACTTGCTTTCAAATTATAAATATCAAAATTGATTGTCATGGAGTAATTTTACAAGTATGATATTTCTATCGTAATTGTGGTACTGAGCGCCTCGATATTCCTAAGAGGATTAATCAATGGTCCAAGAGAGAAAGAGAGCCACCGGCTATTTGGCTGCGAATAATAATGATTATAGGCAGGTACTCTCCGCGAGCAGGAAATGGCGTTGGTGAATGTCGGTAGAAGGTGAAAGGCAATGTTTTTTGATTCGTCAATTCGTCTGCGAGACGACAGTGAATACAGTTGTTTTTCTTTTTCGTGGTTCATTATCTATGCAGAATCCAGTGAAGAGGGTGCGGAACAGATGGGAAAGAAGGGAAGGAAGGAGAAAGGTCCGGGGTCAGGATTCACGAAGAAATTGAGAGTTTCGGGACATGCCGCTGAATAATTGGAATCCCAACGAGGAACTTGGTACTATATGCGGATTCTCAACCTGTGGATCCATTATTATTCCCAAAAAGAATTTGGCGGCGTGATTAACGTTTTATAACGACGTATGATACTTTCGACACTGATTTTTGACTTTTTTTTATAAATTGATATCAAACATAAAATCTCTCTGAGCTCGATGTAATTTACAAAGAGAAGCACGAAGAGGCACAAGCGGATTCTTTACGCAAGGGAATTTGCTACGATTCTCGTAAACGCGATCAAAGAAATTTCTTCCGCGAACAGTAATTCCACGCACAGGGCACCAGTAGAGCCGCTCGTCTCCGGTCTTCGGTCTTCTCAAAAACTATATGCACGTTTCTCGAGCGTTTCTGAGAAATTTTATATAACCAGCCGTCGTTGCCTATTCACAGTACTCGTTCCTTCAGGCCGTCCAGTACGCGATATACACTCTTTTCGCCGTTACGTATCGGAATGTGACGGTACTACGATGATCACTCGATCGCCCGTTTATCCCGTTACGTGATTCTTTCTTTCCTTTGCGAACACATCAGCCACCAGCCTGTCTCAAACTCGTTCGATGGGTGTGCAAGAAAACGTTAATGCCACTCGTCTTAGAGGCCCCTCACGCGTCCTTTTGCCCTCTCTAAAATGGTCAAGAAGGCTCAACGAGTCGGGGAAGTAACCTGTGGTCGAGCTCTGTTTAGGTTCGATTGACGGGATTTATCGCAAACGCAAATTACTGATCTTGATGACTGGCGAAACGAAGACAGCTCAATAAACGCGGCGTATTTTATTATAAAAGAGAATTAATAAATCAAATCCGACTGAATCACGTTTTACATTACATGTTTTACATACGCGAAGATGTGTAAAGTTGAAGACTGCATGGTACGTACTTGAGAGAGTGAAAAACGGCCTCGCTCATAATTTCCGTAATTATCCCCTCTTATCTGTACGTGTAAATTTGCATACGTGACCGCAACCAGGCACGCAGCACGTTATTTAATCTCTCAGATAGCAACGGAGGAATGCGAGAATTTCCGGAATCAGTTAACGAATGAATATGAGAAACGGCATCCTCGTTCGTTTTATCCGACCCATCTCTGGAGCGAACGAGTGTCCATTCACCTTCGTCACCTCATGTCAGAAAATGCATCGTGACTTCGTGGGTCGCATCCGACACCTGCAGACGATGTTGGGTCTGCCGTTACTTTGCCACGAAAACGGTGGCGCCATTCAGGCAATCCTCTGTCCCTATTAGAGTCCAGACGTCCCTTCTGAAAAAAAGGCGGAAAGGACAAGAGGAAGATTATTTGATGCATGTACGATAGATCTCACAGTCTATAATAATTGTTCTATTCAAATTCTTAGACTGCTGTAATTTCCTGGAAACAAGCTTGAGAAAGTACAGGAATATATATTCGCACT